AAGAAGAAGAAGAAGAAGAAGAAGAAGAAGAAGAAGAAGAAGAAGAAGAAGAAGAAGAAGAAGAAGAAGCGATCAAAGGTTTTCTGAATGATAATTGTTTTGAAATGTCATCAGCCTGCCTGGAAGTATGTTGCAAGAAACTGAAAATCTTGGAAGACATCTTTCTGAAGTAAGTTGACACTCTCTTAACTGGCGAAACATTCGGGCAAATAGAGGACTCGATGTCTTTTGGGATGTCTATGGAAATGACAGTGTCGGACTCTTGTGATAACTGGCGAGAAATGGAAGTTCCCATAGTTGATGGTGGTGTTGTTGGTGTTGGTTGTGTCATTGCTGGTGAACTGTTAGTTTGTGTAACTTATCTCAAAAAAAAAAAAGCTGATACTTGTTGAGTAGGGAAGATCATCAAAAGAAAAAATAACTGTGTCTGAATAATAACCTACCGATAATGTGAGTAAATGTTTTCAATGTAATCACTAAAAATCTGAAGATTTTGGTTTTGGTGTAGATTGAAAGCAGTTTTGGTTTGGTGTGTTGAACGTAGGAAATATTTTTAGAGGAAGAAGTTTCTTGGCTCTACTTTGAAAATCAGGGAATATTATAATGTGTGCTACTCATTTTTGTGTAACAGCTCAGAAAATGCCACAAACTCAGAGTCATCTGAGCATGTGTCTATAATGTAAACTGAAAAGTTGCATACAACGAAGCACAAACACAAAAAAATAATAAAAAAAAAAAAAAAAGCACACCATAACTCTTTATTTATTATTTATACGATTTATACATGCGAGCATCGGATAACAAACCAGCAAACTAATATAACATGGCGTAATCTATTGAAATATCCACTTGGTGTCACTTATTACTCCGCTTCTTCCACTTTTGTAGGTTGAAACATGTTGAGAGTTTAGTGCTAACGGACATAAAATATTGCATGAAACCAGTACACCACGGATGACATCTTCACACCAACATGTTTTCTCTAGAATAATAATGAGCTAAGTGAAGCCTTCCTGGCTGGAAAATCCATTCCCGATATTTTAATGTGTATATCTTCTAGTGGCTTGTTATCCAACTGAGTCTGTGTAATATCGAACTGTTGCTGAATTTTTTTCTGCAGTGCAATTGCATAATAATGACCTTATGGAGCTCATATTTGAAGCGACCTTTGTATTAAGTCAGCCTTCCTGACAGACTTTAATGACACTATAGATACAGAATACTGCAATATCAATGTAGGAGTTGGATTCTGGTCTATTCAAAACACTGTTTTCGCATTTCTGACTGCTATTCTGTTTTTGTGTGACTTCGGTTGATTTTGTGGCCGTTTACAATTTAGCTATGCAGAAAATATAAATATACCTCCTAGGCCAACTTTTTTTTTTCCAACTCAATTCTTTTTTCTTTTACTCTTTTTTCCAAACTTCAAAGACTTAATAGTTATTAAAACAAGTTTATTCTCATTTTTTTAATAATATTTACCAGCATTTCTTAATCATGATGTTTTTGACTGTGCTTACTGCTACCCTCTTAGGGTTGTGGCAGTTCTTTAGTGGCTTGCCACGATTTTATTGTGAGCAAAACATCTCGTTTCTTGTAGCTCATAATATCATTTACTCCTAATTACACAAAATGATCCAAAACACCACTGGTTGATAAACTAACCCCTTTTTTAGCCCGCGTTGATACTTTACCAAACTACAATGCCGAAGACAATTTGCGCTCTTCCTTTGTGTTTTCCCATGTTGCAGCCCTTGATTCCGTATTCTTGACCACCGGAGGGCTATTTAATTCCACCCTGTTACCATATTCTCTTGACTTTGCTGCTGTTGACGATGTTGCCGAAGGACCATTGACTGATGCCGCAATCTCCTTGAGCTCAAGTGCTGTTTTGTGTACCAGTGGAGTTACACAAACACACTCCAAACCGATTCAAATGAATGAGTTTGTCGCTGCCGAATTTAACGGGTACCGAACCCCAATTGGGAAATCAGATGTCAATATCGTGGCAGCTTTGAGAGGTGCGGTTGTCGAATTAGTTGAGTATGGTCTTCCTGTTGCAAAGGTACCAACCTTGACAGATGTTTTAGGTTACTTCTCCATTGATGCTGGTTTCAAAATCTTAGTGGTGTTCATATTTATTTTGCAAATTAAACCATTATTCGGGTATGTTGACGAATCTGCATCCAAGGAAACAACAGAGCTCATAGTGTTGTTGCAAAATAATATTGCACAAATGGAAAACGAGATTGCGAAGCGACACAAAATAATCTCACAAAGACAAGAATCTAAGCAGATTATGGAAATTGAGATTGAGGGAACCACTTTAGGCTCATCAGATAGTAGCTCTGAAGTCTTTTCTGGTAATGATAATGATCTGAGTAAAGAGTTAATAATTGCAGATAGTTTTGAGATTAACCAGCAGCGTGCTGTGTCTGTTGAATTATCAATAGTTGCAAGTACTGAAGATGAAGACGACGATCAGGAGGAAGAAGAAGAAGAAGAAGAAGAAGAAGAAGAAGAAGAAGAAGAAGAAGAAGAAGAAGAAGAAGAAGAAGAAGAAGAAGAAGAAGAAGAAGAAGAAGAAGAAGAAGAAGAAGATAATGATGATGATGATGATGATGATGATGATGATGATGATGGTGGTGGTGAGTGTGTTGAATATGAAGGCTGCTTATTTTCAGTGGACTCAAAAAATAGTAACATTCTTTACTTCAGGCATATAGACACCGGTTTGCTTGGCTACCAGGAAAATGATAAGATTTTCTTGTTCATAGATGGCCAGTTTGAAGAAGTTGATCAGGAGGACTATGGGTGTTAGTTTTTTGCTTGGTCTTTTCTTCGCTTGACGATAGTTGGAATTATCACAAGGTCAGAACTCGAGGCTTTTTGTAGCATCTTCGTTGTTCGCACTCAAATAGATGCAACCACGACGAACCTTTGTCCCAAAGTCTCTGCGTACTGACTATTAGTTGTGTTTTCCATTCGGGTTTTCAAAATTTTGTTTTTTACTTTTTGCTATTCAGTTTTCTCATTGTCGTGTCATCTCCAATTTGATATGTTGTCTTGACCTGTTTTTTGATTTTTCCAATCTTTCAATACTCTTCATAGATACTCTTCAAAGATTATCTGGTGACTTCTCTTTCTATTCTCTGGGGAAGTACTGTTCTATTTGATTCCTTGATAAAGTTCTGTTCCATCTGGCTTTTCTGTTGATCTTTATTTTTCTTTGCTTCACTTTTTCTTTGTATAGCCAGTATGCTTAATTGTTTGCCTTTAAATTCTTTTACGACTCAATTCAATATACTTTTGAAATGTAGCTTTAAGTAAATTGTAAGCTCTAATAGTTTGGTTTTGTCTATCACTTAAATTAAGGGCACTTTATGTGATTTTGTGTAATATAGTGGAACGATGTTTTTCCAAAGTGAAAAATGCCTGACTCTTCTCTTATGTACAGTAATCAACTCTTGTGGTAAAAGTGCTCTGATGTTGTTTTTCCAAGATCTTAAAATCAAGGGATCTTTAGGTCTTATACTAGGAACCAGACCATTAGATCTCTACTAATAAAATATTATAGTCGTTGCTATCAAGATTATATTTACAGCCATTATTGGTTTAAGGTTGCTAGATGTCGTGCTGTTTGTCCTTACTACTATCCTTATATTTAAGTTTATTATCTAAAGTGTTTGTTATTGTACGTGACTGCGTTTTTTTCGCCTTTGTATAAATATTGAAGTACTTTGTAGACCTGTAGAATTCTAACATACACTTGAACCAGGTTCGAGTCCCTTAAAAGAATAATATTTATTATTACCTGACTCTAATTCTAATGAAATCATATATTTTAAACATATCGCTATCACTGCCGGTATTTTTGAGTTTTTCAATGAAAAAAATTAAACAATGCGTCTATTAAAGAGGAAAGAGCAATAATTTTGAAGACATTAATCAGGATGAAGACGAGAAGTGCTAGTTTTTTGATATGTCTTTTTTCTTCACTAAATGCTGACTGAAACTTCACAAGGTCAGAGGTCGCTGTATCTAATTTGATTAGGTTAGCTAATGAGCTGTTTGAAGATCCTGCTGCTAATAGTGTATGACGTCCTACGATATGTAATTGATGAACAATGTACAAATATGTATGATGTTATAAAGACGGCCAGCTACATTGCAGTATTTATTCTCTTTTGTTTCAAACAATAATAGGAATAAAACAACGCACATTTCATTTTCATTTTTGGAAGAGAAACTGCCAAAACGTCGCTAATTTCACAATTTATTCATAGACATGTTATAATTAGCCACGCCATACGTACTTCTAAATACATCAATAAGCCGAGCATTACCCTCCTGTACCAACTTATTGACAGCCTGTAACCCCAATTATTTATGTTTGTACAGAATAGTTGCGCGCTATTTAAAAAAGCTGTGAATATTTAGAAATGAATAGGATCATCATGTCTACTAACTACTGACAGTGTTTTTGAAATCTCAGAACCACTACAATTGTAGTTTTATTCTCGCTTCATGTCATATTAACAGAGTTACTGAAATTCTTGTGCTAGTCTTACAAGTTTTGTGTAAACAATTTATAATTGCTCTAAATAAGCTTCAGCTATTCTCGATTAAACCACAACATGATATTATTGTTGTTGTTTTTTAATTGTTTATCATAGTAATCTATCTGGCCATATACAATTGTCTCACAAAAATCACGTGCGTACGTCAAAAAAAAAAAAAGGAAATGCTGCGGGAGCCATTACTGCGGGTTATCTTCGATTGTTTGCTTTTGGCAATGCTTTTCTTGTACCCTTGCTATTTTGTTTATTTACAAATATATATATTGGGTCATCCTCAATTTCTTCGCCGATTTTCTCCTATTTAATCCTCCAGCTCGTCATCACTGTGCAAAAAATAAATACCTTTACTTAGTTACTGGTTGTTGTTTGCTAGTAGTTGTTATTGCTGTTTTTATTTTTCAGAGCAAAGAAACCTCAGAAATGGTTCCGAATAGATTCCATATTAGATCAGGGGTAGTGGCTCTCATATTCTCTGCTGCTGCCACATTGTTTTTGTTTTTTATCATCTTATCAGGCTCCTCCAAGAACCCATCAACTCCCTTGAACCGCTTCTATTGGGTGGAAGCTGATACTTCAAGCATTTCTGGGGCCCCAGCAAGAACCAGATGGACCTATTGGGGAGTTTGTGAGCAAATCAATTCACACACAAAAAATTGCACTGGGTTAGGGCCAGCGGTTCCAATTTCTCCTGTCAACAACTTTCAAACCGAGGACGGGGTTCCTAGCTATTTTATTAACAACAAGAACTCGCTCTACTACTTATCCAGAGTTGGTTGGGGGCTTTTGTTCGTCACTTTGGCGTTCTCGGTGATTTGTGTTATTTTGGCTAGCGTCACCATTTGCTCGCATCATGCTCAAGCTCTCACCTCATTTTTCTCTCTAGGGGCAACTATCTTTAACTTTGGTGCTGCCGCCCTCCTTACCGCGGCAATTGCTATGACAAAAAAACATTTTTCGAATTCAAGCATTGGCTCAATTTTGATGGGCTTTTTGTGGACCTCAGCCGTGTGCAATCTTATTACCTTAGTGGCAACGTTTGGCTCATTTGTCAGAGAGTACTATAGAAGGTCTAAGGCCGGTCTTGGAACTGATGAGAGCATGTTTACCAACGAACCTAAGAAGTCAGTTTCAACAAACGTTCCTTTGCCAGACCAGCTGGGCGTAGGAGCAGGCGTTGGACCTTCTACTAGCCAGCCTGTAGCGTACGAGAATCCTTATGGTACCAACGAAGCTCCTGCTGAGCAACCAGCAGCCAAAAGTCGGGCAATAAAATTCTTCAGTATCAAGAAAAATAAGAAGCTTGAGGAAGAGATTTAGACTGTGTGGGATTTAATTCGTTATGTTGTATTTGCCTTTGAATTCTAATCTAATCTAATATCCTTTTTTTTCTTCTTCTTCTTTTTCTATAGCCTTTATAAGGAGTTAGAGGTGATATTACTATTGTGGCTCTATTAATATTTTTTGTTATATATCTTTCAAATTCTACTGTTGATTTCCTGCTATATTTGCTTTGTGTAAATAGTTGGAGAATTATATCTTATTCCTCTGACATGTTCAAAGTTTAATGGAATGCTAAGTATTGATGCCTTGTTAGCACTTCAAAAGCAAAAAAATAAAATGATTCGTAATCACTTTATTCAAATCATTAACTTGATTCAAGTTTTGTTGAAAATAATAAAGCAGATTGAGCGTTTTGTGCTTTATTGCATGCCAGTGCTTGAAGAAAGCGAAAAAATCGCAAAAATATTAATATAAAAGGGGCCTTAGAAAAATGAAAAAATTATTATCATTATTATCGTAAAATTTTTTTCTTCTACTTCAAAGATTCAAAATAACAAAACAGCAAATTATTATTAATCTCATTTATCAGCTTTACCACAATGTCGTCCACTTGCTCTTGCTCCTCTATTAAGCCTTGTACCTGCACCGCTGGGACCTGTCAATGCTCATCATGCTCTTGCCAATGTTCTTGCTCTGGTCTATGCTCTTCTTGCTCCTGTGACTGCTCTGGATGCTCAAAGAAGTAATCATTTAGTCTGGGACTATTCGTTATGTTAGTCAGTTTGTTTTGCTTTCCTTGGTTGATGATACCACTCATTAATTACCAGTGTTGTCCTAATATCTTCATTTTTTTTTAGCTGGTTGCTTTTGATCTGATTGAGGATCACTCTGAATTTCTTTGTTTTATGATTTTATAATATATATTATATATTATATTATATATATCAAAATATGATTTTCTATTTTACTTTACATGTTCCCAAGTTGTAACATCAAATTACATTGGAGACCAAGAAAACCGATGAGTATTCAAATATTGCACAAAATGGTAGCTGTTAGATATATATATTTTTTTGTAATAATATATCCTCAAAATTATATTAGTTTGGTTCCTAAAAGCTTTCAAAGAGAACAAAAATTCGGTTCATTTATTTAATTGTATATGTAATAGGCTAAATAATATTTTTAAAGCAGGTTATATTTTTTTCAAAGATATATAATTAGAAAATATTTTCTCTGAAGGTATATAATCAATTAATATTTTCTCTAAAATAATCCAGCAACTATGACAATATCTAATTTCTTGTTTCTTTTTTCTAAATAGAATCAATATTGAAAAGGGAAAAAAGTCAAGTCGTCGGCAAAATAATCTCTGTCTAGTCTTCGTCTCGCTTCTATCACTTTGTAATCAACGTGAAAAACGTTAGGATTGAACTTGTGGCCCTCTTTTTGAAAAGCTGAGAAGTCAATGTTGTAGGAATTTTCAATGATTTTCTCTCGTTGGCATTCTCGGAACTCATTCTGATCTAATTCAACTGTCACTGAACTGTCATCATCAATGGTCGATGATGATGAAGATGGCATATTATCTTTATTCAAATTTAATTTGGAAAACTCCTCGAATACTCCTATCAGCTCATCACATTCTTTGATTTCCCATTGACTGTTGCTCTGTTCAATATCAATCTTTCTTTGGAATAGCAGTTTCAATTCTTGCTCACAATGCTCTTTTCTATACTCTTCTTGGTAATAATATTGATAAGTTTTTACCACCCATGTACGGAAGTCTGCAAATATTTCAAATGGATAGTGGTGATGAAGAATTTTTTGATAGTGCTCATAGGTTGATTCAGGTTGTTCCCTCTTCCAATGCGAAGATATCCTTATGCCGATTGGCAATGAGCATTTAGCTTTTCCGCTTGTGGATTTAGCAGACTTATGAGCAAATGAAGAAAAGAACATTTTTACAATGAATAAAAAGAAATCTTTGCTTCCCATAAGGGATTAGAACATATAATATTTTTATCCTCACCTAGACTACAATTTATAGAAATACCTTTTTGTTGAAAAATGAAGGAAAATAAGCAAGTACATTAAAAGAATGGAAAAAATGAGAGAAAAAAAAAGTTGGGAAACAAACAAAGCAAAGAGCAAGAATGAAAAACAATAATAATAGTATCAACACTATGAAATTAATAAAAATTAGCGAAATAGAAATCATGGTGATGGTGACTGCCACATCTCATGTTGTTGAGACGCAGAAAGTGGAAAAAGGTGTGGGAAAAAATGAAAAGGAAAAAATTAGAAAAAAAAAAATACGAATCATCCACAAATACTCATCCTCACTCTTGAGCCCACCCAATTATTTTTACAATGGCCACTAGTCTCAAAGCTATTAAATTTGATAGAAATTCACGGAGCCTTCATGTCCTTGACCAGCTCTTGATCCCGTTCCAAGAAAAGTATTTGCCAATATACTCCATTAGTGATGGGTACGCAGTCATCAAGAAGATGCAAGTTCGTGGGGCCCCAGCCATTGCTATTGTTGGGGTATTATCAATCATTGTTGAGTTGAATTACCTCTTAAAACCACAAGGGGCAGTGGTCCAGACATATTATGATATCGCTGATGTTGAAAACTTCAAGAATGTGTTGATTCAGCGGATCGAGTACCTTGTTTCTTCAAGACCTACTGCAGTTAATTTGTCCAACGCCTGCAAAGACGTGGTGCAAATCATCAATCATTCCTCAACAGATTCGCCTAACACATTGCTCGAGGAAATCTGTAAATATGGAACGAAGTTATTCGATGATGACTTGACCAATAACTACAAGATTGGTGAAAACGGCGCCAAGTTCATCTTGGACAATTTGAAGCAACAGAATTATACAGGCCCGTTTAGTGTCTTGACCATCTGTAATACTGGATCTTTAGCAACTTCAGGCCACGGGACTGCTCTCGGGGTGGTTAGATCATTGTGGGAGTTATCCAAGGCAAACAAGGATACTGAACCATCGACTAAGAAATCTAAGACAAATGATGGTTCTGCTGGTGATGCTTGGCTTGAAAGAGTCTTCCCATTGGAAACCAGACCATATAATCAAGGGTCACGTTTGACAGCGTTTGAGTTGGTTTATGAAAAAATCCCTGCCACCTTGATCACCGATAACATGATTAGCTTCTTGTTAGACTCCATTGCTAATGGCAGAGTTAATCAACCTCCAGTGAAGGCAGTAATTGTTGGCGCTGATAGAATTGCCAAAAATGGTGATACAGCCAACAAGATTGGAACGTTGCAATTGGCGAAGATTAGCTCACTTTATCCTGGTATTTTGTTTTTAGTGGCGGCTCCAACCACCACCATCGACCCGCTATGTCCTGATGGGAGTCACATTGTTGTTGAGGAGAGACCAGCTGATGAGCTCAGAAAAGTCAAAGGGGGAATCCGTGATGGGGACCTGTACAAAATTATCAACATCGACGTTGCACCTAATGAGATTGACGTATGGAACCCTAGTTTTGATGTCACTGGCCATGTTTTGATCCATGGTATAGTTACTGAGAACGGTGTTTTGACAAAAACTGATGGTCAGTTCAGTATTTAGTGAGAAATAGCCTGATAACTAAAATAAGAGAGAGACCTAGGGTAGAATGTTAATAAGCTGTAGAAAGTAAAAACAGCGTGCGTGCGGTTATCATGCAGCTTTTTTTTTTTTTTGTAAGAAGCGCTTCTAGAAAAAAAAACTGGAAGATCATCGAAAAAGTTGTTTCTCTCCTCGCTGAGTTTTTGTTGTTCTTTTAACACAAACTACATTAGATTATTTTACAATGTCATCCCGTCAAGGTGGTAAGGCCAAGCCTTTGAAGGCCCCAAAGAAGAAGAGACAAGATTTGGATGAAGACGATTTGGCGTTCAAGGCCAAACAAAAGGCCGATGCCGCCGCTAAAAAGGCAATGGCCGAGAAGGCTAAGAAGGGCGGTCCTTTGTTAGGGGGCGGTATTAAGAAGTAGGTATTGTTTTTTGTATTAGGATCCCATGATTATCTGTGGGTATGGTTTACTAACAAGAGCTGATAGGTCTGGTAAGAAATGAACAATGTCATCTCGAGGTGTCCGGGTCGCTATAATCCTGGTGTTTGGATGGGAATTAAACAGAAGAAAATATAGGATAAAAAAAAATAAACACCACGATGGCAAACACAGTGAGCTAACAGTGGAGTATCTGCTTCTAAATGGCCTCGGATTTGTCGTTTTTCAGATGGTATCTAGAATCAAGAACCAATTTACGTTATATTTTATAGTATGTTATCGTCATGTTAGTTATCATCTTTTTTTGTTTATTATACACCTTAGTTTTAAACTAACATCAGCACACTTTTTGTAGATCAGCAATGTGTTAGCCCTTGGCTGTATATATCATGCCTTTGACACCCGCCCCAATTTCTTGTCTGCGTGTATCTTCCTTTCAGGGGGCTTGAATGTCATCATTATTGGCAATTGGCTCATTTTATTGGCAGTACTATTGGGTAAATTCCTTCAGGTGATGCTATTTGGGGAGTTGAGACTTGTGGAAGTCACCCATATATACGAGCAAATGGGTTTCACTTTGACTACCTCATTATTTGGCTTGGCCACATTCAGGGTGGAGAATGCCCTAGTTTCTGGGAGTCTTACCATCTTTAACATCACTTTGAAAGTGTTTCACTGGATATTATTTGATAGAATTGACGGCCTTTTCCAAGTTAGTGATGAAGATCAATTATACAGTTTGAAAAGAGTATTATTCAACCGAATTCATATCGCAATGGGAGCATTATTGTTTGTTGATTACCACTTTATTTCATATTGTATTGGTAGCTCTTATGAAAACCCCTCAGATATCTATGTTGCTTACGAATTCGAAGTTGGTCTTTTGTTTTTGGGAATCATCTTCAATATCTTCAAAATATTGATCCATGTGTTTGAGATTATCTATCTCAAACAATATCCTGATGAGGAATCTTTTGAGAATAAAGGTCTTTTAATTCAGGTGGTTGACCTAGTGCATGTCTTTATCAAAGCGTTAATGTACATTTTACTCCTTTCGATTTTCCTCAATCCTTATAACTTCCCAATTCATGTCATTAGAGATTGCTTTATATCGTGCATGGCATTTTACAAAAAGTTGAAAGATTTTATCCACTTCATGAAGAATGCCAAAAGAATTGACAATTATTTACCCAACGCCCACCAGGAAGATTTGGAAGGCAGTAATTCTTTGTGTATTATTTGCCGAGAAGATATGACCACAGAAGGCTTGACCCAAGGCCATAGGTTGTATCCAAAGAAATTGAGATGTAATCATATCATTCATTTGGGTTGTTTGAAAAGTTGGTTGGAAATATCCCAACTTTGTCCAATGTGTCGAGCCCAAGTGTTTGAGAACCTGGATTTTGCTGAAAATAGCAATGCCAATAATGGTAATAATAATAACAATAATATAAATGACGAAAATAACGATAATAATAACAATAATAATGCTCCTGGAATTAATAGGGATGTCATTAACCCGACTCCAACAATCGAGATAATAAATAATCGACCGCAACCAGAGGATTTCTTTGAAAATCAACTAACAGCAAGAAATTTTCAAAATGGGATCCTTCAGCTTGACGCTGATGCTCTTATCCCTGATGATTGGACGCTATTACCACTTGAAACAACTGCCGATACCGGTACTTTTAAGGTATGTTTAGGTGGAGATAACTGGGCCACTCTTGAAATACAAGATAATAAATACACACCAGATACCTCGGAAAAAAGTCAAGACAAGGAACAAATTGATGTTTTGGGTATCCCAGAAGGAACAAGTGCTAGTATGATGAAGAGCTTTTCTCCATCAATGAGGGATGGTAGTACATTAAGCACAGGTGAATCATCAACAGAATTATTAAGGAAATGTCTTGCAAAATTGCAACAATTGGACAAGAAGATATCGGGAAGCGAAAAATCAGCAGTGATTGATGAGGAGGAGGAGGAGGAGGAGGAGGAGGAGGAGGAGGAGGAAGAAGAAGAGCTTGGTCAGATATTAAGAGGTATTGAGCTGGACTTAAAAATGCTGGTTGGACGACAGTATTAGCAATATCATTTTACGAAGAAAAAGAAAAAAAACAGTACGAAATTTTTCTCTATGTAATAATATTTTATAGCCCGTCGAATTTTTTTTGACAAGAATACAAATAGTTTTGTCATTTGGCCATATTATTGGTTATATAAAAGACGTACGATCATCATGTTTTATTGCGATAGCAGTTTAGTGGATATCACCAACTATAGCATATAATATAATATGCTCCCTCGGTACACTAGTCATCATATATGTAAATAAACACATATGTAAATAATATAGATTTACATTTCCATTTTTTTTTTCCATTTTTTATTTATTGGAACATAAGCTCATTTCTTTAAAAATTATGTTTGAACCATCATGAACCATCATTTTGTAGTACCATATGAATCTTGACCACAATATAGGGAATTATTGAAGTAAGGACCACAACAAAAACCAATATATAAATATGAACATGAATTGAAAATGAATATGAAAGAAAAAAAAAAAAATGTAAAAAAAAAAACGAAACAAAACGACTGCTCATTCCAAGATTGGCAAGAATTGGCCAACTATAAGCATTGGTATATCGAACATGTCCATTTTAATCGTCAAGATACTGCTGCAACTGATAAACTTTTGTTGTTGCTCAAAATCTTCATTGATTTCTTTACTGTAAGGCTTAGCACCCGCTCCTCTAGCATGTATATTGCTCTCAAACACATGGAAATTGTCTATGGAAGACCCGCGAAAAAGAGAGCCATTTTTCAAAAGCGAGGCATTAGATTGATTTCTTCTTAATCCAAACATTGGGTTATTGTTGTTGAGATGTCCCTTATTGTTATCTTCGCTGGTATGTGCGGGGCGACGTTCTCCTTTGTAGTTATGATTGATGAATTTACAATTTAGTCTGATCAACCCCCCATTGGTCACACCACTGCCATTGTTGATACGCTCATCACTCAACTCATTTTCGAGAATATCAACCAAGTCAGACCCAAAATGATTGTTATCAAATCTCTTCTGAGCATGATGATGATGACCTCCACCACCAGGCGGGTCCTTATTCCCGAGTAATACATTATTAATAAGTTTGAAGTAATTTAAAATCGACATATCGTCAATGATTTCGCACAAGAACCTTCTTTTGCTCAAGAATTTTGCCTTATTTTTGATCCCAATTAGGGTACAAATCTCATCGCTCATAAACACGATTTCAGTAGACCGACGCCAAATGATTGCCGGGGTCGAGGTCAAATTGTTAATCATATTCTCAAAATTCAACAATTGTCTATGGAACATGAGCTCTGTTAGTAACGAATCACTAAAATTCGTCAAGTTGGTGAGATCGGTTTGAATCAATGCTGATTGAATTCTGAAATAATTATGGATAGTCCAAATTTTTTCTAATATTTTGAAGAAAAGTTTCCGACGAATAGTTTTTGATTGTACAACCTCTTCCTCTGACAATCCGGTATAATCATAATCACTGATATTTTGTAGATACAATCTGTCATAAAAGTATTTGATCAATTCTTGGTATGACTTCATATAACTGAAACTCAAAATCCCAATAATATACTTCAAATCACTGTAAGGGTTTTGAATATCCGCATTGATAACATTATGCGCCTCATTTTGATATAATCTGTTTAAATCAAAAACTGGAAATTTAGAATACAAATCGCCAACCTCTTGGAAAACCTTCTTTCTGATAAATAATGGAGATTTATAAGAATTGGCTCTCTTGAAGCTGTTGACAAAATCCTGGGTGGTGAGTTTATGAATTGGTTTTGCTTTCATCATCAAAGGCTCTTCATTATTTGCAAAAGCCAGTGACTGGTTAGAATTATGGTTATTGTACATATTTTGACCAAACGAATTTGGAGATGCGTTCATCTGATGGGTATTATTGTCAGCAAATGGTTGTTGGGTAGGCAGTTGTTGTTTCCCAATAATTTGCGGAGCAATCACATTTTTAACCAATGCAGGATCATCACTGGATGATCCACTATTTATGATATTTTCATGATCTCCCAACTTTATAAACGGCCTGAAAATCATTTGATTGTTCAACCCATCATAAAATAGATTACTTATGCCTTGGTCATCAGGACTTTGATTCTGAAGGCCGAAATTTGCACCACCAGCTAAGTCCGCAACATCATCGAAAAAATCGAAATCTGCATCTAAGTTGTTTATAATTCCATCATTAGTGTCATCAGTCGCATTTACACACTCAGTAGGTCTCTGTGGTGGGGTCGTTGAATTCTGCTTGAGATGCGACGAGTCAGCGGAATGGTGGGAAACTATACTATTGTCATCCACGTCAATGCTGGTAATATTATGATTATTATTGGTACTAACATTGATATCATCACCGTTAACATTAATGTCATTGTTACTAGCCTGTATAATTGGCGATGGATCAACGTAAACAGTAGGCCCTTTGCTTTCGGGCGTGTCATTATCGAACTTCAGGTTTAGCAAATCCCCTGGATCAGTCACAGCAGGTTCTACCAGTATATCATTAATAGTTGCGGTTACTGTAGGATAATCTAATGATACAAGGGGTTCTGATGATGTCTCGATGCCGGCAACAATCGATCGCTGATCTTCTTCCAGCTTCCCCACGTTTTGAAATCGCGGGGCTTTAAGATTTCCAGACGGTTTTCTTATTCCTTTGGGCCCCGAAGAGCCGGTACTTTTACTTTTTGTTCTTTTTCTTTGGACATCTCGACAATAATCTGCAACGTTTCTTTTGACACAGTTTTTGCAAGGTCTGGTGGAGTCACATTGAAGATGCTTCTGATGGCAAAACTCACATGCCCTGGAAATGGGCTTCCGCTGGAGTTTGATGTGCAACGGAAGTTTTTTTGTCATAGCGAAATCATAGAACACGATGGAGGAACAAGATCAAGGGAAATTTCCAGAAGGAGAAAACAAAAAATGTTGAGCGAACAACAGGAAATCATTTTCATTGTTTTGGGATATTTCACCCAAATTGAAAATAGCCTAAATTATCAGCCAGGAGCTGTCAATCCCTTTCACGTGCTCAGTCACATGCCAACGCGGCTGTTTTTCTGTGATTTCTTCTATATTATTATTGTTATTTTTCATTATTATTGATTTTTTATTTATATCTACATCATTTATACAGCATAAGATGGTCCAGGAACTAAGTCTCGTTTCGACAATCAACAAAAAGGAATTCAACTTTGTCATCAACAGTCTCATTGCCCTAACTGGCCAAAAACCACGAAGCTTGACTAATGAAAATATCATTTATAGCCCCATCATCAACCTCAAGTACTTGCAGTCAAAGCAAGCCATTAATAACTCAGTGAATCTCAACCAAATAGAACAACATCTTGTGAAAATCAGAAGAAGCTGGCAGATGTATTCCCCCGGAAAGAAAAACCCTAATGTCGTGGTCAATGAAATTCTAAGTAATGATAATCAATTGTTCATGAAGAAAGTTGGGGCAGGGGATGTAAAATTGGGAGAGCGAGATACCACTAATGATGGCGAAAATCAATATAGTTTTCAAATCAGTGATATTCCTGCTGCGGGAAAGCGTAAAGTGTCGTCGCAGACAATATATGAGGTGAACATCAAGCAAAGTGCAACAGCGTTGAGATCTTACATGATGAACTTAGGGTACGTTGAAAAGCAGCGGTTTTTGATAAAGGGCTTGAAGTTTTTGTACAACGGGGTGGTGAACATTGAAATATTCCAGGTGTTTGCCATTGATGCGACCGATGGGAAGACTGTGGTTCAAATCATTGATGGCTCCGAAAACTGGTTCTTAAAAGCTTATGTTAACGTGGCCAAGATCACCGATATTTCGTTGATCAATAAAGCTTCCAGCGATCTAGCATTGTTACAAAAGAATGTGGGGAACTTGATCAAGCTAAAGATTCCTGATAGAGGATTGATGGACTCGAGAATCAATGACAATTTATGATCCGTAATGGCATTTGAATAAAATGTGCAAATCGAGTATTGAGATTGGATTTTTTTACAAGAATTAAAAATTTATAATGATAATGAAATGAATGAGAAAAATCTATGAAATAGAATGAACCAACAATGTACGATGTAAAAATGGAAATGTAGTAAAATAATGATGAAAATAAAATGGTGGCCTATAGAAAATAAAAATGAATAGCTGTGAACTTTGTTAATAGTCCAAGAAGATATTGCATCAAAGAAACATATTAAAAAAATACGAAATCAACAAAAGTAAATCCACCAGTACCTAGAATAACCACTAATAATTCACATTAAGTCATAATTAATCGTTAATTAGTGGGTAGCATTTGTCGCCGGTTCCGGAGATGAGTCAAATTTTCTCCGCGAAAAAATTCCAATTTTTCAACTATACATACAGATCAATTTGCAACTTCTTGTTCATTATTTTTAAACCAAAATTATATTAAAAAATAAAGAAAAAAGAGTATTATATTTCAAGAATGCTTGTTTCTTCTAAGATTCTTGGAGGCTCTCGGACTTCAGTAACTCTCAAAACCACATTGAGATTCAACAGCTCATCTACATCTGCATTGGCTTATAAAGCCCTACATCATCGCAAGAAGCAACCAAGATTGCCAACCTTGGACACCCCAAATTGGTCCGCTCAAGGTGCTGTCTCTTCCATATTATATGAAACACCTTTACCATCAAAGTCTCCTAAGAAGCAACATATTTTAAATTGCTTGGTTCAGAATGAGCCTGGTGTGTTATCATTGGTTTCTGGGATCTTAGCAGCAAGAGGTTTCAACATTGATTCTTTAGTTGTGTGTAACACTGACGTCAAAGATTTGTCAAGGATGACAATTATCTTGAAAGGTCAGGCCATGGTTATCGAACAGGCCATCAAGCAAATTGAAGACTTGGTACCAGTTTTCGCAGTATTGGATTATTCAAATGCCGAAATCATCAAGCGAGAATTGTTATTGACCAGAGTTTCTTTATTGGGCCCAGAGTACTTCCAAGATTTCATAAAACAACACGAAATTTCAATAGAAGCTGAAGAAACTTTATCAGAGCTCGATAACAAATACCATCCAAAGAATCTCACTCCTTCTGAAATGTTGAGAATCAAAAATCTGTATTTGACAGCTTTACAAACCTTAACTAAACAATTTGGCGGTAAAATTGTTGATATATCCAACAAAAATTGTATTATTGAATTAACCGGGAAGCCTGAAAGAATCACCAACTTCTTGAAATTGATCAAGCCATTTGGTATTCTAGAAGTCGCAAGATCAGGTATGATGGCCTTACCAAGAACTCCTTTAAGCGAAGGGGAAATGGAAGAAGAAGACACTGCAGTTGATATTGGTGTTGATCTCAGTGATTTGCCACCTGGTTAGGCCAAAAAAATAAGATATATATTTACAAGATAGCCATATTTAGTATAAATAAAGAATAGTAAAGTGTTGATTTTAGTATATAACATACTTCAAGAAACACTAGCAACGTTCGTGAATAAACATGTTGGCCAAGTCTATTTTATTAAAGGTATATCTAGTAAACATATGGAATAATCTTGTATGGGACTCTTCGTTTATATTCATCCCATTTTTCACCGTATTTCACCGAGCACTTTGCTTCATCTCTTTGCTGACGATGTAATAGTAGTCCGCCAAAATAGGCAACATAATAGTAGGTCAATGGAGTGTTGAATCCAGTACTAAAACACCAGGACCAACTGATCAACCAGTCACCGAAATAGTTGGTATGCTGAGACAATCCCCACCATCCATCACATAATAATTTAGTTCCAGTTTTGGTCTTGATAAATTTGTAATTCTTACCATCCAATTTCCCTAATTTCCAGTCTGATTTTTGTTGATTGGATTGATGGAAAACATAGTACCCAAAAAACATCAAGGCTAATATTGCAACGTCGGTAGCAGCTCCTAGATGAATTGGCTTCAATGACAAGTAACGGGATTGTAAGCAGTATGTGAATGGCACCAAGGATAAATCTCCAAATGCTAACATGAATCCAAACCCATCAGTGGTAATATCCATCATCGACAACACCCCGGCTTCATTAAGCACCCCATCGAAAATGTAAAACAATTGCAAGAAATTTACAAGAAGTAATGCATCGCAAACAGTTCCGCTATTCCAGTATTGATGATGGATACAAGAAAAGTTGATGGCCAACCAAAGCAAGAGTCCTGGCTTCAACTCACAGAAGAGCTTGATATCAACAGGTCCAATTCTTGGATTCAATTCACGACCAATAAACCAATTATAGAACCCACTTTCTGAGTTCCCATTGATCGAAAGGATCCTTTCTTTGGTTTTAAGGCCATTGAGGCTACGTAATGGGATGTAAGAACAAATGAAGACAAATGTCGCTAACAAAGCAGAAAAAATGATCGACACCACTGCCAATTCCAAAAAGTTCTCATAGATGAATTCCAATTCCGGCGAATATCCTTTGTTCAAGTATAATCTTATGATCATGGACACTGACAAGATCGATATAAAGTTCAATCCATTGATCTTATACCCCAATTTAGTACCATCTCTCAAGGTAATACCTTCCATATATTGGCCCGGAGTGACAAGATCAAGCGCAAGCAATCCGAAAAACCAACTGAGGTAAAAATTCCATACAGAGTTGTTAAAAAAGGCATCTTTAACCCAGTCTATTTTGAAAAATTGTGATTTGAGAGCCTCAAGATCGATGGAGGAACCATCGATCACATAACTATCGTTACACAAAAAATATAGCGCCACAATCAAGGTTGGAAGACCAGTTGTGATGGCAAACGCACCAGGAACTCCTCCGAATTCTTTTTCTTTGGTCAAGGGATTAAGAGCAGACATGTTGGGCATAGGTGACTTCCACAGATGTCAAAGAGCTGCTGGGAATATTGGAATTTTCGTATATCTCGCTTATAAGCGGTGATACAAGACACGCTTACCCGGAGCCGAATAACTTGAAGGTGCCCTTGACCACTATTTAATAAAATAGTATTTATTGTTATATCCAGCATTTCTTGATTATAAGAGATAAGTGAGAGGAAGCTCATTACAGATTAAAGGTTACGATACCTTCCTTCAATTATCGCTCGCGCGAGAGAAATCTAGGACTAGCATAGCCTAAAACTTCATTCATAACAGATGTAATACAGGAGGGATCCTCAAGCTCTCTGTAACATGAGATATGGCCCTATTTTTTTTTTTTGCGTTTCTTCATTTAAGGAGATTTTTCAATCATTGCTGATTATTATAACCAAATCACTGCTTCGTTAAAAGTACTATAATGTGGTATTGTCGCACTAATTGAATCCTATACTTGTCAGGAAACTACCAGATAAACCAAAAATATTTCATGAAGTAACAATAAACATTTATTTCAACACAAAGCCAATCCCCAGATACACTATATTGAAGATGAATAAAAACCTAATCAAGCGTATTGCTTCAAAACTTTCTGGATAGCATTGATATTGGCTCCAGTGATTTTCCCGATAGGTTCATTGTTCTTGAACAACACAAAAGTTGGCATAGCAGTGATTCCATATTCCATGGCAACCTCGTTACTCTCATCAACATCCACTTTTCTGAATTGGACATTTGGGTATTCGACTGCCAATTTCTCGAGGATTGGAGAAACCGCCTTACATGGACCACACCAGGTGGCGTAAAAATCCACAAGGGTTAATTTCTCGGATTTTATTGTGTTATTGACTTCATCGAGGGTCTTTAATTGTCTAATGAGTGATGAGCTCATCCTTTTGGAAGTGGTAGAACCGGCAGTAGCAGCAAAAGTTTTGGAAGGTGTGATGAACGCCCTGAGCAACATCATAATCAAGAAAACGTAGAAGATGGTGACAAGAAAGTCTGGCATCCAAGAAACGAATCGTATATATTTGATTAGAGATTGAAGAAGAAAAAAAAGAGTGTTGACAAACTGGGAATAAAAGAGAGATGGAAACAGCTTCCAGGAGTTTATACAAATTAGAAATCACCGATTTTCGTGGGGGAGTTGCCCTGTCTGCGGTGACCAATAGCTGGAATTTCCGAAGCTTCCCACCGTCCTTACTACTTACTGCTCCAGTGGAATTGACATGGTGTGATACTTCGCAATTGTTATGATACGGCAAACTTTGTCTTTGTGAAACACAGTCTTTCATCACAACAATGTGTGTATCTGAATGAATTTTTGTCCTGGTAAAGTGATCTTTCTCAATGTTGTGATGGGCTGAGTAGTCCTGAATTCCTATTCCTTTTTTTTCCTTCAAAGTTCGATATATTAATAAATATATAATTATATATATCTATGTAAAATCTTATAAGCTAATGCTTATTATATATGTTAGGGAAAACCATATCATATGGTGAAAAACCCTTTAGTGATAATTATTAGTATTTAAATAAAATGTTTTTTTGTTATTCCAGGACACAAAGGATAGTGGATACTTCTATGCTGAAACTCAAGGAATGATGTATATTTATATGCTAAAACACAAGAAATATTCAATGATAAAACACCAACGTGGAAGCCATGCTCCACGAAATATATACAAGATGTTGACTAGCTGTATATGCCAAAAAAAAATAGCTTCGGTATTAAGAAGCTAAGCGACACTGAAAATGAGTTCAAATGTCAAACCTACAAGGGACTCGAACCTGGTTCAAGTATATTTAATTGAATTAAAAAAAAAAAATTAAAGACAAACAATTAAGCATAGTGGCTACATAAAGAAAAAGTAAAGGAAAACAAAATAAAGCTCAACAGAAAAGCCAGATGGAACAGAACTTTATCAAGGAATCAAATAGAACAGGACTTCCCCAGAGAATAGAAAGAGAAGTCACCAGATAATCTTTGAAGAGTATCTATGAAGAATATAAGAACCACCAAAAACAATCACCTATACTTTTGAAAAATGAAACACCAACGAACACAGCAAATATCCAAACAAGGAAGGAAAGTTGTGACGATAAGAAACACCAAATAAAGGATGAAGAGTATTGAAAGATTGGAAAAATCAAAAAACAGGTCAAGACAACATATCAAATTGGAGATGACACGACAATGAGAAAACTGAATAGCAAAAAGTAAAAAACAAAATTTTGAAAACCCGAATGGAAAACACAACTAATAGTCAGTACGCAGAGACTTTGGGACAAAGGTTCGTCGTGGTTGCATCTATTTGAGTGCGAACAACGAAGATGCTACAAAAAGCCTCGAGTTCTGACCTTGTGATAATTCCAACTATCGTCAAGCGAAGAAAAGACCAAGCAAAAAACTAACACCCATAGTCCTCCTGATCAACTTCTTCAAACTGGCCATCTATGAACAAGAAAATCTTATCATTTTCCTGGTAGCCAAGCAAACCGGTGTCTATATGCCTGAAGTAAAGAATGTTACTATTTTTTGAGTCCACTGAAAATAAGCAGCCTTCATATTCAACACACTCACCACCACCATCATCATCATCATCATCATCATCATCATCATCATCATTATCTTCTTCTTCTTCTTCTTCTTCTTCTTCTTCTTCTTCTTCTTCTTCTTCTTCTTCTTCTTCTTCTTCTTCTTCTTCTTCTTCTTCTTCTTCTTCTTCTTCTTCTTCTTCTTCCTCCTGATCGTCGTCTTCATCTTCAGTACTTGCAACTATTGATAATTCAACAGACACAGCACGCTGCTGGTTAATCTCAAAACTATCTGCAATTATTAACTCTTTACTCAGATCATTATCATTACCAGAAAAGACTTCAGAGCTACTATCTGATGAGCCTAAAGTGGTTCCCTCAATCTCAATTTCCATAATCTGCTTAGATTCTTGTCTTTGTGAGATTATTTTGTGTCGCTTCGCAATCTCGTTTTCCATTTGTGCAATATTATTTTGCAACAACACTATGAGCTCTGTTGTTTCCTTGGATGCAGATTCGTCAACATACCCGAATAATGGTTTAATTTGCAAAATAAATATGAACACCACTAAGATTTTGAAACCAGCATCAATGGAGAAGTAACCTAAAACATCTGTCAAGGTTGGTACCTTTGCAACAGGAAGACCATACTCAACTAATTCGACAACCGCACCTCTCAAAGCTGCCACGATATTGACATCTGATTTCCCAATTGGGGTTCGGTACCCGTTAAATTCGGCAGCGACAAACTCATTCATTTGAATCGGTTTGGAGTGTGTTTGTGTAACTCCACTGGTACACAAAACAGCACTTGAGCTCAAGGAGATTGCGGCATCAGTCAATGGTCCTTCGGCAACATCGTCAACAGCAGCAAAGTCAAGAGAATATGGTAACAGGGTGGAATTAAATAGCCCTCCGGTGGTCAAGAATACGGAATCAAGGGCTGCAACATGGGAAAACACAAAGGAAGAGCGCAAATTGTCTTCGGCATTGTAGTTTGGTAAAGTATCAACGCGGGCTAAAAAAGGGGTTAGTTTATCAACCAGTGGTGTTTTGGATCATTTTGTGTAATTAGGAGTAAATGATATTATGAGCTACAAGAAACGAGATGTTTTGCTCACAATAAAATCGTGGCAAGCCACTAAAGAACTGCCACAACCCTAAGAGGGTAGCAGTAAGCACAGTCAAAAACATCATGATTAAGAAATGCTGGTAAATATTATTAAAAAAATGAGAATAAACTTGTTTTAATAACTATTAAGTCTTTGAAGTTTGGAAAAAAGAGTAAAAGAAAAAAGAATTGAGTTGGAAAAAAAAAAAGTTGGCCTAGGAGGTATATTTATATTTTCTGCATAGCTAAATTGTAAACGGCCACAAAATCAACCGAAGTCACACAAAAACAGAATAGCAGTCAGAAATGCGAAAACAGTGTTTTGAATAGACCAGAATCCAACTCCTACATTGATATTGCAGTATTCTGTATCTATAGTGTCATTAAAGTCTGTCAGGAAGGCTGACTTAATACAAAGGTCGCTTCAAATATGAGCTCCATAAGGTCATTATTATGCAATTGCACTGCAGAAAAAAATTCAGCAACAGTTCGATATTACACAGACTCAGTTGGATAACAAGCCACTAGAAGATATACACATTAAAATATCGGGAATGGATTTTCCAGCCAGGAAGGCTTCACTTAGCTCATTATTATTCTAGAGAAAACATGTTGGTGTGAAGATGTCATCCGTGGTGTACTGGTTTCATGCAATATTTTATGTCCGTTAGCACTAAACTCTCAACATGTTTCAACCTACAAAAGTGGAAGAAGCGGAGTAATAAGTGACACCAAGTGGATATTTCAATAGATTACGCCATGTTATATTAGTTTGCTGGTTTGTTATCCGATGCTCGCATGTATAAATCGTATAAATAATAAATAAAGAGTTATGGTGTGCTTTTTTTTTTTTTTTTATTATTTTTTTGTGTTTGTGCTTCGTTGTATGCAACTTTTCAGTTTACATTATAGACACATGCTCAGATGACTCTGAGTTTGTGGCATTTTCTGAGCTGTTACACAAAAATGAGTAGCACACATTATAATATTCCCTGATTTTCAAAGTAGAGCCAAGAAACTTCTTCCTCTAAAAATATTTCCTACGTTCAACACACCAAACCAAAACTGCTTTCAATCTACACCAAAACCAAAATCTTCAGATTTTTAGTGATTACATTGAAAACATTTACTCACATTATCGGTAGGTTATTATTCAGACACAGTTATTTTTTCTTTTGATGATCTTCCCTACTCAACAAGTATCAGCTTTTTTTTTTTTGAGATAAGTTACACAAACTAACAGTTCACCAGCAATGACACAACCAACACCAACAACACCACCATCAACTATGGGAACTTCCATTTCTCGCCAGTTATCACAAGAGTCCGACACTGTCATTTCCATAGACATCCCAAAAGACATCGAGTCCTCTATTTGCCCGAATGTTTCGCCAGTTAAGAGAGTGTCAACTTACTTCAGAAAGATGTCTTCCAAGATTTTCAGTTTCTTGCAACATACTTCCAGGCAGGCTGATGACATTTCAAAACAATTATCATTCAGAAAACCTTTGATCGCTTCTTCTTCTTCTTCTTCTTCTTCTTCTTCTTCTTCTTCTTCTTCTTCTTCTTCTTCTTCTTCTTCTTCTTCTTCTTCTGCTTCTTTGTCGGTTGAGGAATCAAACCATTCACCTGTTATAGGAACCTGGTTCGCACCTTCATCTGATTTTGCTTCCTCATTCCCAGTAAAATCTCTTCAAGCCTCATTGATAGATTCTTATCTCATTTCAGCCTACGGCGCCGAAGCCAGATCTTTTTCAAATGAACCTGTTCTTTCTCCAGCCATTGTTGATCCACCGATAGCAGCGTCACCAAAATTGCCACAACAGCAACCAGTTGAAGAACACAGTCCAGACAACTCTGTTTTGGTCCAGACTCTTAATCCAAATTATGATGAAGAGGTTGAAAGACTCAATTCTTATGACGCAGATTGCCAAAGTATCATTGGCCTCAGTGACAATTCCAGTTTGTCTTTCTATGACCAAATCAGGGAAAAGCAGACAAGAGTCATTAAATGGGAGCAGACCCACAATTTTGAAGTAGTCGAAAGAAAACCAAAGGTTAGAATCGTCATGGAACCTGTAGTTATAATGTATGAGGGGGAAGAAAAAGGTAAAGCCTCAAGAATCAATCAGAAAACCAAGGAACTTTTGGCAAAATTATTCGACAAAAAAGCAAGAGCTGAAAGAAAAAATGAAAAGCAAATGATGAAGAAGATGAAAAGAGAAAGAAAGCAACAGTTAATGGAGGAAAAGAGACACAGAAAATTGGAAAAAAGGGAAGCGAAAAACAGGGCCAAGCAAGAGGGGAAAAAAGTAAAGAAATTAAAGAATTTAGGGAACAAGCTTGCCAAAAGTTGCACA